TTCTTGATTAGGTGTGCCTAAACCTGTGCATGTCATCAGCTCACCCTCTGTCATATGTTTGCAACTCGATGGTCATGTGGTTTGTTTTTTCTTTCGTTTTTTTTTTTTTTTTTTTTTTGTTCTCAGTTCAGTTGTCAGGGATTTGTGTGTGTGTGTGTGTGTTCACTCGACTGCGTGGTCCAGGGCAAGCTCTCTTTTTGTTTTCAACTCGATGGTCGTGTGTTTTGGTTTTTCTACTCTGTGGTCATGGGGCTGTTTTTCCTTTTTGTTTCCCAAGTCCTTGCCCAATTTTTTGTCTTTTTTTTATGTTAGCAATGTGTCCGCTCTAACGTGCGATCGGGACTGCTTACCTGGACATGATGACGTGGTTTTTGCTGTGAACAGCCTTCAGATGTCTGAACGTTCCCTTTTTGGAATGTCGCGTTGTGTTGTTCTGGACTTTCCTTTTCGGTCTCGATAGGGACAGCCTTCCGTATTATCATGTATTTACGGCATGGAGCCAACTTTGAGTGCCGTCTGCATGCGAATAGAACGAAAGGTCATTATAGCTGTATCTTGACCGAAAGGTGGCCCAAATACAGCTATAATGACCGTACGTTCAATCCGGACGGCACACGTAGGTAGTACGTACGTGATTGCGGGCTAAGTACCAGCGGGGGTTACGTATTGATTGGAGCGAAGTGTGCGAGAATTGCCGTGTCCGTGGGTGTCGAGTGCCATTGTGGTGCGCGTGGAGTTGGACACTACAGCCCCTTGCAGGGGTGGGGTGGATATCATGACCGGTATGGTTCCACTTTTGAACACCGAGTCCTGGCGGTAGTGGCTAAGAGACTTGGCTCTTGAGGCCGAGGTCGACGGTTAGAATCCGTGCAAGCACGGAGGAGGGCTTAGGCCCAGATGTACGGACTCATCTCTCCCTCTTCTTCTCCTCCTCTCTCGCTCTTCCTCTCTTCCTCTCTTCCTCTCCTCCTCTCTCCCTCTCGCTCTCCTTTCTCCCTCGTCCCTCGCTCTCTCTTGTTTTCCGCCCTCCTTCGCCCTCTCTGTGCTTCTCGCTCTCCCCTTCTTGCTCTCTGTGCTTCTCGCTCTCTCCTTCTTGCTCTCTGTGCTTCTCGCTCTCTCCTTCTTGCTCTCTGTGCTGCTCGCTCTCTCCTTTTCGCTCGCTCTGCTTCTCGCTCGTTCTCCTTCTCGCTCTCTCCGTCTCGCTGTCTTCCTTTTCTCTCTCTTCCTTCTCGNCCCCCCTCTCGGGGGGACCTCGATATTATACTCGATCGTATCTGGAAGCATCGTCCAGCTTAGCTTACAGGCGTTGCCTGCGGGTCTTTCCTACCCAGACTCAGCAACTCGGTGGCTGCGGGCGTATTAGTTTTACTCATGTAGTTCGCTTCTGTGTGTGCTTTTTTTTTTTCTTAGCAAATTGGGGTCCTCTTGTCTCTCTTGTCTTTTCCTCCCTTTTATTGTGCATATTCCATCTTTTTTTTTTAACTTCCCGTTCTATTTTTCTTTATAAATGATTTTGCCCAATATTTGTATATACATTCGAACTCCGCCGATTTAGGGATGCTGGCATTGGAAGTGTGGGCGACTCTCGATTTGGAAAGCGCCACTTTGGGGGGGTCGCGATTTTGAGTACGGAAAAGGACTTTGTGAGACATGATGCCAAAAAAACTACATATGTAGTAGCATGCCGTGAGCGACCAATGCCGATAATATCTCCTTGTGTACCTCTCCTCAGCCATTGATCATTCGCTCTTCCCACCCGCCGTATCCTTTTCCCCCGTTCCACAGCGTCTGATCTTCTCCCTCACCACCCGTTTTCCATCCCCGTGACTTCTGCCACCTTTCTCCCTCTTTCTCTCTCTCTCTCTGTGTCCGTGTTCCTCGTCTCTGTCGCTCTCCCCGTTCGCTAACTTGTTATTCTCCTTCTCCTTCTCCTTCTCCTTCTCCTTCTCCTTCTCCTTCTTTTCCCTTTTGCTCCCTCTCTCCCTCTTCCTCTTTTCGTCTCCTTCTCTCTCCTTCTTCTACTCCTCTCCTCCTCTCTCCCTCTTCCTCTCTTCCTCTTCCTCACTTCCTCTTCCTCTCTTCCTCTTCCTCTTCCTATTCCTCTTCCTCTCCTCCTCTCTCCCTCTCGTTCTCCTTTCTCGCTCCTCCCTCTCCTTATCGCTCTATTGTTTTCCGCCCTCTCCTTCGCGCTCTCTGTGCTTCTCGCTCTCTCCTTCTTGCTCTCTGTGCTGCTCGCTCTCTCCTTTTCGTTCGCTCTGCCTTTTGCTCTCCCTCTCTCCCTCTTTCTCTCTTCCTCTCCCTCTTCCTCTTCCTGTCTTCGTCTCGTCCTCTCTCCCTCTTCTTCTCCTCCTCTCCTCCTCTCTCCCTCTTCCTCTCTTTCTCTTCCTCTTCATCTCCTCCTCTCTCCCTCTCGCTCTCCTTTCTCGCTCCTCCCTCTCCTTATCGCTCTCTTGTTTTCCGCCATCTCCCTTGCGCTCTCTGTGCTACTCGCTCTCTCCTCCTTGCTCTCTGTGCTGCTCGCTCTCTCCTTTTCGCTCGCTCTGCTTCTCGCTCGTTCTCCTTCTCGCTCTCTCCCTCTCGCTCTCTCCCTTCTCTCTCTCCCTCTCGCTCTCTCCTTCCCGCTCTCTTCCTTCTTGCTCTCTGCCTCTCGCTCTCTTGCTTTCTACCCCGTCGCTCTCTCTCTCTCTCTCTCTCTCTCTCTTGGAGT